ACCCACCCACCCACACCTTACATTAAAGTAATACTATTTGAGGAGTCAAATTTTTCATATACTTTTTAAACATTTTTATTTATTAAAAATTGCAATTTATGGTACTTTTTATCTACTTTATGATCATGTTAAATTTCCCCCCCCAAAATATTACGAATTTGAGATCTGAATTGAGACCAAAAATTAGAAAGGTTTGGCCATCGTACTTAAGACCCCTTCATTCTTTTTAAAACGAAAGGAGTAATATTATGGGGAAAAACATGAGCAGATATTAAAGGTTACCCCTTTTAGGATAACAAGATATAGGCTCTTATATCACTGCATTTTTGAAATTCCAATATCTCATTATTTCATACTATTGAGCAGTTGAGCTTAGTGCTGGTGTAGAATAATAAACTTACTACGAGCATCCCATAATCGAACTGTCTTGTCACCAGATGCTGTAGCTATCAATTTCGCATGTTTGGGATCCCAACACAACTGGTCCACACTGTCAGAGTGACCCTTTAATTCAACATCTTTCACCTTACCCTGCAAAGAGCTATCAGAGACTTGGAGGGTACTCGGACATAATAGGTTTCATACTCCACATCCCAGGAAATAGAAATGACCAGAATGTTGCAATGAAACATAAAGAGGGAGCAGTGATTTTCTATATTGCTCGGACTCTCCGAAAATATTGCCGGGTGTGTGTCGGATCCTCCAAAAATAGTATAACTTTGGAGGATCCGACACGGACGCGGCATCATTTTGGAGAGTCCATGCAACATAGGCGATTTTAGGTAGTCTTGTGTATGATGACAAAGCTATTAAAGCTCTAGGTTTTTGCAACCAAAGGCAAAATAGCTTACAATTTTTCAGCAAATTCCAAAGTTAGAGTAACTTAGAATTTGTGACTATGAAACAAGATAAAAGTAAGTTTATAGCCTTGACACAGAGAAATGAGACATGTTCTCATTAGAGTTATATGGTAATCAAATTCTTGCATGCACTAACATAGTATAAGTTTATCCCCCCTCCCTCCCTCCCTAATTAGAGTTATATGGTACTCGACTTTGTTTCATAGACGTTCCAGCTTGCATGCACTAACATAGTATAAGTTTATCCAGTCTTGCAAAGACACTACCTCTCTCTTTATATATGTAGTTCTGATTGATGAGACGCGAGGCGGCGTTAATGAGAGACTGGAGGTTTGAAGACAAACCCTTGAGTCTAAAGGTTTCAAATTGAGTAGGACTAAGACATAATATCTGGAGTGTAAGTTCAGCGATGCATTGGGGGAAGCGGACATGGATGTGCGACTTGACTCACAAGTCATCCCAAGAGAGGAAGTTTCAAGTACCTTGGGTCAATTATTCAGGGGTGTTGGGGAGATAGACGAGGATGTCAAACACCGTGTAGGAGTGGGGTGGATGAAATGGAGGTTAGCATCTGGAGTCCTATGTGACAAGAAAGTGCCTCCGAAACTTAAAGGCAAGATCTATAGAGCGGTGGTTAGACCAGCCATGCTTTATGGGGCTAAGTGTTGGGCAGCCAAGAATTCTCACACCCAGAAGATGAAAGTGGCAAAAATGAGAATGTTGAAATGGATGTACGGGCACACTAGGCTGGATAAGATTAAGAATGAAGATATTCGGGAGAAGGTGGACGTGGCTCCCATGGATGACAAGATGCAGGAAGCGAGGCTTAGATGGTTCGGGCACGTGCAAAGGAGAAGCATAGATGCCCCTGTTAGGAGGTGTGAGCGTTGACATTGCAGGTACGAGGAGAGGTAGAGGGCAACCTAAAAAGTATTGGGGTGAGGTGATCAGGCAGGACTTGGCGCGACTTCAGATCTCCAAGGACATGGCTTTGGATAAAAAGGTGTGAAGGTCGAGCATTAGGGTTGTAGGTTAGAAGGGAGTCGAGTGTTTTTCTACGTTGTTCCTGGGGCGGGGCTAGGTTGATAATGTTTCTCTGTGGGTTGTTAGTGGTTTATGTAGTTTCCACACTATTTTCTATGGCATTATTACTGGTTATTGTTATTGCTTTTACATCTATTTTTTGTTTCTTACGATGCTGATATTATTTTTCTGGCATTTGTTGTTTGTAACTGATCTATTGTCTATTGTTTATTTTTTCTTCTTAAGCCGAGGTTCTTCCAGAAACAGGTAGGGGTAAGGTCTGCGTACACTATACCCTACCCAGATCCTACTTGTGGAATTTTACTAGGTTGTTGTTGTTGTGTGTGTGTGTGTGTGTATATATATATATATAGGGGTAAGGTTTGTGTACACTATAATCTTCCCAGACCCCACTTGTGAGATTTTACTGGGTTGTTATTTTGTGTGTCTATATATATGTGTGTATGTGTGTGTGCGCACGTGCGCGCATAAAATTTTTGGCTTGTGAGCACTAACATGGTATCAGTGGTTTTCTATTGATAATAAGTACATCCTTACCTCCTTCCTAAATGAGTGAAGAACAAGCATTCCATTTGCAAGTGCATAGTATGATAACCTACGGGAGAGATCTCCCCACGAAAACCCATCTTATACTTTTTTCAATTTTCTACTTTAGCAATATTTTGCCCTCCTGTGTAGTCCGGAGCATTTCTGCATCTTTTCACCCATTCTCCAATTTCCTCCAATTCAAGAGTCTTTGCATATCTAAAACATTGAAGTCGCATGACCATGAATACCTTGTCACTAGTCCTAATAAGAAATTCATCAAGTCACTTCCAATAGGTCAACTACAAACAACATTGATCTAGTTCAAGATTACTCCTTGCTATATATGTTGGAGCAAATGTTCACACAAAAACTGCATTCTGTCTTCAAACTTCATGGCAACAACTTCGTAGAATTGGCCACATCAGGAAGAGGATAACAATTTTAGCATGTATCTTCATCAAGTCTATCTACATGTAAGGTTGCAGCATAAAAGAAGTTCAACTACTATCTGGCCAATTCATCACTTGTCTTGATAACTCTTCACTCTTTCTATCCTCATAATTTTCTGCAAATATCAACTGAAAATTCCTTGTCTAACACCTTTTGGTGTCCCTAAATACAAATGATTGTAATTGTCCTTTCAATTAGTATTCAGTACAATTTTCTTGATACCAAAAGATTAACTTTCAACCATGTTAGACTCCTTTTTCAAATTGATGTTTGTACCGTAATGGTAAGAGTAGTTTTGTACAACCTCCTCGCATCTTTCCTAAGCAGACATGTATCAACTTCTCAGAGCAGATTCAATGTTGTACAAAAACTTTTTCATCCAAATAAAAGAGAGACGAACATGCTTATTGAGAAAAAACAAAGAAGAGAGAAAGTGAGTGCGAGCAAGCCTATTAATTTGCAATAAAATCTGCCCCTGCTTCTACAAATAAAGCACCAATTGATCTCGAACTTTTAATACCCTCTATATAGTTTTTGCCAGAAGAATTTGCAATGCAAGTTGAATGTGCAAAAAGTGGCAGATGGCTCTGGAGAAACCTCAAAATTACCAACTTAAGAGAAGACCTCGCAATCAAGAAGCAAAGTGAAGTAACCAAAATTCTTTTCTTTAGCTTCAACTTCTTTTCTGAATAATCATTTTTTCCTTCATTACTTTCCCATTTCATGTAAGGCACAAAAAGCTACTCTAAGTTTGACACTTTAGTCTGTTACCCAATTACATACCTAAATCCAAATTATGCTGATATATAACACCCTTTAATAGAAGGAAATTGTCAATGACACACAGGAGAAAAAACAGAGGTGAGGCTGACACCAATTTGAAAGACCTTGTGTGTTTCTTGTAATCAATCCCACCTCTAACAACAGCCAATAGTTGTCAATCTCAAACAAGTTTTGTCTCCAGAACTTTCCACTTAAACAGAAATTGGCATGGAAATTATATGGAACACATGAATTATTCGATGTAAGACTGGGTCAGTGTCAGCCTAAGTCCATAGATTGAATTCAAGAAAATTGGAACTCCTTGTGCTAAAAACAAATCTTTATACCTTTTCACAGCTGCTTCATTATTTTTAATCATCAAACGCCACTCTATGTAGCATTGGCATTTACATTGGAATTGGGCTTCTTCTACACGTAATCATATATGTTCAATCATGCACTGGCATACTTAATGAAATGATCAAGAGGTCAAAGACTTTTATCTTGCATAGCTGCAGCAAGCTTTACTATCCAGTCTTTCCTCACTTTCACCAACTCATACCAAACATTGACAGATGCAACGGGAGTGCAAACCCGAGGTTTGCACTCTAAACAAAGTAAATAATCTCATCTTAACTGATTTAAATGTTCCCTTTCGCCTAAATTCATCTGAAGTTTGCCAGTTTTAACACACCCAGCTTCACATTTCAACTTATGGATAATGAAATCAGGTCCTAAAACAAGTAGAACAGTCCAAAGCCAGAGAAGATTGGCAAAAAAGGCAACAATAACATAAAGTTGAATTTTCTGAAATTTGTAAAGTTGAATGAAAACCAAAAAAAAAATGAAGTCAAGAAGCTTACGTGGCCATGGGGCTCAATATGCCAAATACGAGCAGTTTGATCAACAGAACCTGAGGCAAGTTTCGTGCCACTGCAGTTCCATGCCACTGAATGCACCTTTATTCCATTCAAATTAAGATTTTAAGAAAAAAAATATAGAAGATATCACATAGTCAAATCATTTATAATTTTAAGGAACCCCAGTTTCAGAAATAGGGCAAGTGAAGTTGGGGTTCTTGTTGTTAACAATGAAATGCTTTGAGAGAGAAAACCTTCTTCTTGTGTCCCTGATATTCTCTGCTATGGAGGTTTTTGAAAGGTATTATTGTTTCTCCCATTACTCTGCTCAGTTGCTGCGGTCCAAGGGCTGCTTGCCTTACGCCCCCAAATATTTAAGCCCCAAAAATGTATAATTTATATTTATATAATAGTTAATTTGTTATAAATATATTATATTATGAATGTTCATTTAGTACTCCGTTGTAAATAATTTTCCTGAAAAAGCTTATCCATATGAGACTTCACCGTAAATATGTTTATCCATTTAGTACTCTATTGGAAATAAGCTTCCCGAGGAAGCTTATCACTTCGGTACCCGGTTATGGATAAACATTACCCTAGGTAGAAGATTATCCATACCGGGTATAATAAGCTTATCCATTCAGTACTCCGTTATGGATAAACATTGCTCTCAGTAGAAGATTATCCATATCTGGTATAGTAGCAGCTTACACAGCAGCTTGTACTAGAAGTTTGTACTAGCAGCTTACACACCAGTTTCCTTTCTTCTATAAATAGAAGAGATTTCAGTTCATTATGTACATCAGTTTGAATTCGAATAATATATCAGTTTCTCTCTATACTTTTCTTTACTTTATAGTCTTTATTTTATAACATGTTATCATCACGAGACTCTGTCATCTCGAGCAAATATTTTGAAAGTATCTAAGGTAAGAACTTTCTTTTCCTAAATAATGTCAAATCTTTCTAAACTTGAATTTGTAGACCTGGATATATCGGGCAAAAGCTACATGTCTTGGGTGCTTGATGCTGAAATTCATCTTGATGCGATGGGTCTGGCAGACACCATCAAAGATAAAAATCAGGCATCAAACCAAGACCGTGCCAAAGCAATGATATTCCTACGCCATCACCTTGATGAGGGCCTGAAAATGGAATATCTTACTGTTAAAGATCCAGTCATACTGTGGAATAATTTGAAAGATAGATATGACCACCTGAAGATGGTCGTTCTTCCACAGGCACGATATGATTGGACTCATCTAAGGCTACAAGATTTTAAATCTATCAGTGAGTATAATTCTGCTATGTTCAGAATTATTTCCCAATTGAAGTTATGTGGTGATAATATTACTGATCATGATATGTTGGAGAAAACTTTCACCACTTTTCATGCCTCGAATATGCTCCTGCAGCAGCAATATCGAGAGATGGGATTTAAAAAGTATTCTGAACTTATCTCACATCTTCTTATAGCCGAGCAACATAATGGGCTATTAATGAAAAATCATGAAAGCCGACCTACTGGTTCTTGTCCATTCCCTGAAGTGAATGAGACGAACTTCCACCAGGCTAAACGTGGAAAAGGTCGTGGCCCCAGTCGTGGTCATGGTCGTGGTCGGGAAAGAAACTCTAATCATGGTAATAATAATGCACCAAAGAACACTCCTCACCACCACCAGTGGAAAAGGAAGGAACAAAAGCATGAAGCGGTGCAAGCACCAAATGCAGAAAATGCATGCTATAGATGTGGAGAAAAAGGGCACTGGTCACGTACCTGTCGTACGCCAAAGCACCTGGTTGAGCTTTATCAAGCCTCCCTAAAGAAGACAGAGAAAAATGCTGAAGCAAATTTTATTTCTGAAGATAATTTAGACTTCATGCATTTAGATGTAACTTATTACCTTGCACTCCCAAAAGGAGAAACAAGTCATGTAATC